CTGATAAAAGAAGTCAATTTCAGTTTCGCTGCTCAGTTTCGATTATCTGTTTTATTTTTGGTCTACTCTGTCACGAAACTCTGTCACAAAAAAGTGTCAACATTTGCCGACTGTATTTTGCGAATGAAAACTATGCAGGATACTTTTATTACACGCCGAATATAGTTAGAGCGTCCGAGTCCTTTGCTGTCTTTGCCTTGCATCGATGTTCCTTGCGCACGTCTCTGACCATGGTTTACGTCTTTGTGTAGGTTTACGAAAATCCTCACTCTTAATTATGCAATATCGATTTTCACTGATCATAAGGTTCGCGCGATATTTGATCTACCAACAGCACATAGTCTTAATCTCGTTATATCCGCCGTGGGACGCAACAAGATTTCTTATAATCTTCATGCTATTTACCCAATCATCATGTTATTAATATTTATTTAACAATGTGCTCGAGTTTCACTCGAATTACCAACATGATAATGACACGCGTATTAATTTGTTTTCTTTGCGAAAAGCTAGCAAAATCGTGATTGCAACATAATTGTGTAGCGCGGTAATAATTTAAAATACACAAACGGCTGTTGCTTCACGTGCAGATTAAAAAAAGTCTGTGTATTACTCTTTATAAATAAAATGCTTTTGATTGTTCGGTATATTATATTTGTCTAATATCGAATGCACGCGCGTATATGTTTAAATTTATTAAAGCTAATGATATACGAATTTCTGATACATATTGTGAATAAATATCAGGAAAATAATGAACATTTACGATCAGTGATGATAAAACGGTTATTTATCGCTTGTGCACTGTTCGTAAAATGCATGCAGTAAGAGTCGTATTAATTGTATTAATTTTTCGATGTGTGAGCATGAATAATTAGTGAACACACGGCGGGACTCTCTTTCGAGGTAAAAAGTGAAAGACAAAATGTGATTCCAGAGGAACACTGCGCGCAAATTGTCCACGTGGATATCGTGACGACGATGATGCGGGAGCGCGTTGAAAGATGCGCAAATTAGGTCGACCTAATGCCGGATCCCACTATTTACCGAACGGAGTACTTGCTTCACGTCGGTATGTATGTGGGGTACGTTTTAGGGATTCACCTCTTCGCAATATCATTAAACACTACCACCACCAGCAGCAGCAGCACATCACCGACCACGGCCGGTTGCGACAAACGGCAGCGGCCAGGTCAAAGCCTAACTCTTACGTAAGTCCGTATGAGGGCTTTACGCAATCAGCAAAAACACGCCGCCCCAGTTGTCCCCGGAATAAAAGGACTGCGGATCCCACGCCTTCGCGTGGGAAGGACTGCGCCCTGAGGACAAGCTTATCGCTTGAGCTAAACAATACTGCGAATATGCCACTGCTTATTGAATAACGGATAATTAGAATTTCTATATAAAATCTGCATGAAATTCTGCAGGAGGGATAAAGCCTGTGATCGAAGTGCACGAGTGTGAAAGTATAGCTCTTGTAAATATGTATGGCACAGGCGACGAGACACAGAGACACGTCCGTATTCGACGCCGCGGACGGAAACGGCGATTTTCACTTGAAATCTCAGAAATAGCAGCGACGGACGCGATTTGTCAAGATTGAGGACGTGCGGACGGCACGCGCGCAGCTATCTTTCGATCGGCCAACTTCGGTAAACGCAAATACGATTTCGCCCGTAATTCCTGTGCCCTTATTTCCCAAGAAACACGTGTTCTTGCGGCCTTAAAGCGGAACGTCCATTGGCCCCTCCTGTCTAAAGCCACCCTACCATTGGTCGATGGATTAGATGACCACGTGGTGTCGATGCTATATAACCAAGGGTGAACTAGGATGGTATCGGCAGTTGTGCTCGACCGGCGCACGGAAGGAATGCGAGCGTTTTCCGATTGACTTTCGCACGAGCCCCGCGTTCGCGAAGTAGTAGCCATCGCCAATCACACACGGGGGAATTCTTCGACAGTGCGATTCGCAAAGTTCCGCAAGTTCTTTTGATCGCCTTGGAGAATATTCAACAGCACGCCGCCGTCGCAACGTCTCGCTTTGAAAAATATTATCCGCGACACTTTTCGACGAGGACAATTTAACGCAAGAGTGGATAAAAGAATAACGAGGAGTAGAGCGAAGCTAAGTCGTCAGCTGGTGTTCGTACGTCTATGTGATTCTGCGAACAATCACCGATTATAGAATCTTACGTTCTAGATTCTATGAAAATTCTGCTTTGATCTTTAATTGCGATGAAGGAATGCCACTGAAACATTTAGAACTAGTTTGAAATTAATTTGGAATCTTAAACATATGACGTCGTCGGGACACGTGAGTGACTTTCAATTTTGCATGGCAAACTACTTGAATTGAACTATTAACTTGGCAATCTGGGTGAACTATTTTTTTCGTTCTTTAGCGAGGCCAATATCGCGATTCAATATTAAGGGCCGGAAATTATTTTTAGCCTTACGTAGAGTCGATAATTTTCACCCTACGAGAAGTTCGACTTTCTTGACGGGGCAGTTTAAATGACGAGAAATGGTTTTTTAACGTAACACTCCGTAAACGGCAGTAGGTCTGCCGTAAGCGCGCACAGTTAGGAAGATCGAACACGATGAATTTTGTATTCGACTTGAATTGTTCTACCGGTCTATAGAATCGCCAGATGTCCAGTCCCCACAGCTTACTTTGCGGTGGAAACGCGTTCTTCATTGACGTTTCTCGTGTGTGTCGTGTTACTTTCCAATCTAGCCGAAAGCTTTTTCTTTCGAAATTGCATATTTTCCGAGTTGGAAAACTTTAAGACGTCGGAATATATCGGACAGACGAAATTGCACTCGTTAATATTCTTTTTGTGGTAATTTTATTACGTTTATGACTTTTTTAAGATTTTTAATAACACTGGAGGAAATAAAGGGGATCTTAATTATTGAAATTGAGGCGGTTATCAAGGAAATAAATGCGTCCTAAGAGACATGGTAAAAATAGTTGCAGTGTTGCATACTTTGCTTATTCATGTGTGACGTTTAGATATACACACATCCTTGACTACTACTGTTCAAACTTTATAACGATTATGTATGATGGAAACGATGACAAACACGCGCATTAAACTAAATTTAGGCATTAAATAAAATCAAAAGATATTAAACATATTTAAATCCCAAACATCTACTCTAGACGACGGCATCACATATGTGTTTTACACTGGTATGATAACCAAATGTTAAGCGGTCTGTATTTGTTAAAGTGAACGAAAACTGCATAAATTCGTGCATAAACCGCATATATTCAATTTTGTCAAAAAATACAATTTTCATATATAAATTTTGTTTTCTCATTTACATAAAGTAACATTAATTTCCCAGTTTTATATATTAATCAGGACAAATTTTATATATTAATCGGGATAAATTACTTATATAAATAATAAAGTGAAAACGTCAAATTTGTTAATAAAATTTTATATATTGTTAATAAAATTTTATGATATTAAAACCTGTAAAAAATATGCGATACATTTTACTATTTTTTTGAAGACTACAGAACTAAATATTTACAAGCAATTCAATCAGCGAATTAAATTTTAAGTTAAAGCAATTAATAAATTAATAAATTGTTCCGATCTGATCTGATTGATCTGATGATTATTGTCAATAGAATATTGTAATCGATATCGTCATCGTTTCCCATGTTTCTTTATAAAAGACATCCAGCATAATGCAAAATCCGCGAAACAGAAATTTCCCGCGCGTGTGTGTGTGTGTGTGTGTGCTGGATGTGTATGTGTGAGTCTAGGCATATGAATCAAATCGGGTCCGATTGTGCGGAAGTGACCAGAATCCCGTAAAATGCAATATGGGATAATGTTGGACCCCAATATAGCTGCTGGCCACTGCACAAGATTAGAGATAACACTCTTGTGCGTGTGACAGCGACTATTTTAGGGCTTCCATGGAACATCACGTTTCAGCACTGGAATTATCATGAGAAGTGCGAAGAAAACACCAAAACGAAAGTGTTGTTTTTGTGACGAATAAGTATTGCGTATCGAGGTATTGTAATTATCCGTTTTCGTAGAAAAAGAATTGATCGATTTACCTCGAAACTATTGGGTAGTGATTGTAACAAATGAGAATGAAATAAAATAGCGTATAAAAATATATTGAGTAAATATTTATTTAAAAAAAAAAACAGTATTATATAATTGAGTACGATGTCTGACGCATGTTGACCTTTTCTACTGAAATTTTAGCTAAGCAAAAGAGAGAAGAACCTTGTTTTTTGTTTGGCTTTATTTAACAAAACTTTAAATAGAAAACTCAAGTTTTTTTTTTACTTTTTAGATAACGAAGCAGCATTTTTGTTATTGTAATAAAATTAAATTCTGTTAATTATGTTTGCAAATAGATTGAATTTTTTTCTTTATTTTTTTTTCTGATTTAATCCACCGAGAGCTTATAATAGAATATAATTAAATATATAGAGTATAATTTAATTAATTACAAAATTGTAATTATTATCCATGAGTATTATACAAATATAAAAAAATTAACAATTTATTAAAAACGTTATTTTTTCATCAATTATTTATTCATTTCTGTTACAGAACCATTTCACGGCAATTTACTAATAACTCATCTGACAATTCTCCATGCGTGTCCTTTGACGAGGTATGTATGTACGCGGTATTATGAAAAACTTACAGTTGACAATGAGAAATATTCGTGTCTAATTAGTTGGTCATTTAGCCACGAGTAAAAATTAGAAAACGTTGACATGACCGATTGCCGGTTAAGTTAAAAGTACCAAAATCCGCAAGCAGTTGTTCATGTTTCTCTTTCATCGATCTTCTCAGATAGCCAAACGTTAACAATGTTGACAGATTTATAGTAAATTTGATCAAATTTGCTAATTAGCATTTTGCATACTGGATTTTGCTTGCGCCTTCACGTAACATTATAAATTAGACAATATTGGCACAAGGCAATAGAAAAGACATCATTGCAAAAGATCATTGCAAAATTTATTTTATTCAACTTTACACATAGTAACATATTGTTTCATAATCATTAGACAACAATAAAGTAGCACATTCATCGAAATCAATTGCATTTATATAGATAAATAATTAAATAATTTATATCTAAAAACGTGCCTATGTTTTTCATCTGTTCTCTACACCGAACATACGGAGATGTTAACTTCAATATTTAATAGAAAAAAAATTTTTTTTTCAAATTTTTATAACAATTAAACAAGTGTTTATATTATTCAGTTATTTTTTTCGAATTTGAAACAAATCATAATACAGATACACAAATATAGTCTATCGCAACTGCTTTCCTTCTAGCAATGTACTGTGCATTCTTTTTGATATTGACAATCCAGAAGGCACTTTTAATAACAATTCGTCAAATTTCTTTGCATGAACAATTTGCGGGAAACAGGTTCACAAAATATTTCGCAATATCTCACTCATTGCGGATCTTTTGTCATCGAACAACAAGAAGCATAATATCACTCGTAATCTCGTTATAGCCGGCTCAAAATTCGGATCGAGTTCAAGTGAGGATTTGTAGAAGTTCGCAGCAGTCTCAAAATCGCCCTACAAGAAAAATGCATCAATTAATATTAAATTAATTTGTAATAATCATTTATGTCCGGTGAATATATTTAATTTACCAGAACAGCATGAAGATTAGCGAGAACGTAATGATTTATTATAAAGTCCGGACCAATCGAGAGAGCAATCTGAGCGACTTCGAGGGCCTCATGGAAATAATTCTGCGAGCTAAGCAGAGACGCCAGATTTACGAGAAGTATGTCTTGCATATCCTTTGGAGTGTTTTCCAGGCTTTGCCACATGCAATCCAATGCTTTGCGACTGTCGCCTATCACGCGCCAGTAAAATGATGCCGCTATCGCCAAGGTCCAAGAAGCATAATGCTAATTCAAGACGGCACAAATCAGTTGTAATAGGCATCAAAAAGAAAATGCAATTGTGGAATTTAGTGAATTACCTTTTGTAAAGCAAACGCAATTTTGGTCCCAAGTCCTTGCAAAGTGTCACTCTGCGTTCCACTAATCATCATCAACCGCTCAGCCATGTCGAGCTCGGCTTTATATTGCAACGTTTGTGAGAATTGAACCACTTCGGTTACGCGATTCATTCCAGAATTATCCTTGTCACATATCGGCTGTAAAATCGGCATTTCATCATCCAGTGATTCAATCTCATCTTCGATGCTGAAATCGAAATATCGCTTTAAAGATGGTTCGATATATTTAAATATAACTTTTCACAATTTGTTGATTACGTCATGTTTCGTCGTATAAATTTATGAAATACAAATAGAGAAGCAGCCCAGTCTTCGTATTTCAGTTCGTCGCATTCATCCTTACTTGGATAGTAAGATTCCTTCTGATTGTCGGACATCTGACTGAACATCCAGCTATACAGCATGTCCTTCGATATAAAGATATAAAAATTATCGATATGATCTTTAAATTTATTAATCGGTAAATTTACAAAAAGATTCTGTATATTGTTTATTGAGATGGATTATTTAGACTCTCTCACTTGCTTACATCGTCTGAAATTTTGTTAATAGCCATATGTGGTTCGTGTAGCTCAGTTGCACTGTTAGGAAGTAGCAATGAATGTATCAGACCTTGATGCACATTTTCTTTCTTATTGTAATTTGGCATGTCCAGTAATGCAATTTTGCGATTACTCCAACAATTTGTACCTATAATAATATTTTTCGACTATCAGTCAAGACTTAAATAAAAAATTCACATTGTTTCAGAAAAAAAATATTACCTTAAAAATTTTTGATATTAAAACTAACTTCCATGCCATGTACAATAATTAAGATCGTATAATATGACATCCAAAAACAGGTAAAATAATAAAGAAGACATAAATAAGTAACAATCATTTTTATTACGCACTATTATATACAAAGAAGGAAGCAAATAACAAGACAAGATTATGACAACATAAAATGCAAAACTCTTTAAGCCAAAAGTACTACGTTTTATTTACATCAAGCAAAAATAAAAAAGAATTTAAATACAATTTACATTGTCAAATATAAAATAAAACGTAGTCCAAAAAAACAACTATTTTTCAAGACGTGCGAGAATACGCACCTGTTTCTTCTGGCTTTGCCGAAGTGTATTTAATATGCTTACAATTCTTGACTTGTCGTTTGCGCAAAAATGTATCACTTGCTTGCAAATTGTACTTAGTAAGTAACACAGAAGGCAGGTTCGTAGAATCTTTATGTAAATTAATTCCTTGTTTTTCACAGCCTGTGATTGACAACGTTTGTCATTATTCATCACAATAACCTGCATTTTCAGAATACAATACCATCAAGAATGAACAAAATCAATCAACTGAAAAAAAATATAATAAATTCTGTGCAATTTTAGTCACATGTAAAAATAAAAAGAAATCAAAACTCTAACAGTGAATTATTTACAGAAAAGCATAATAAATATGTAGTGCTCATGTAAATAAAGAAAAGAAAAACAAAATTATATAAAAAAAAACTTTATATTTTGTTATTCTACTTCCCTTTGCTTATCTCATTATGTTAAAATTTCAGTATTTCCATCTTTCACACAATATGAGAATGAATAATACACAAACATATGTAAACGCAGACAAAAATTCGACACAAAATAATACTAAATAAAAATATACCGTAGAAGATTGTTTCACGCGTCCAAAACACATGTCATGAAATGGTAATAATTATACACATCACATACCTGCATGATTACCCGTAATAACGTTAAATTTTTCACGACAGGCCAATGTTTTCAATAACATCAAAGCCCTACCATCATGTAAGTGCAAATCCATTCTTAATGCCTGTTTCAAGTAATATATAGCTCCTGTATAATTTCCTTTTACATTCAATAATATCCCAAATAAAAAATTAGTCATTGGCTGAAATATATCAATTACAAAATAATTTTTCTTTATTCGGTCAATACATAGAAATAGTCTCGCAAAAATGTTATTTATACGTAGAAAGCTTTTTTTTACAAAATTTAATTATATGATTCATGCATACCTCTACAGCATTAACTTGCAAGGCTTCGTTTGTAATTCTTAAAGCCTCATCAATTAACCCAACTTTGTGGTGTATAGAAGCTATACTAACTAAAGGTACATCCTTGAATTCTTTAGGAACATTATCCAATGCTAATTGAAGACAATCCAAAGCTAAACGTGGTTTCCCCACTATTCTCCAGTGCAAAGATGCCAGCATGGACAATACCCATGGAGCAGTTACTTTCTATTTTGAAACACAGTTAATTCTTTTAACTAGAATTCAGTTCATGGTGCGTAATGATAAAAAAAATAAATAAATAAATTATACCGCTTTAATTGCCGTCAAAATTCTTTGGCCGATTTCTGCAAAATCTGCAGTTTGAACCAAATTATGTAGGAATGGTTTCAAAGACGCATCTGATGAATGTTGTTGCACAGTCGCGTCTAGTAATGCAGGTGTAATATATTTTTTGTTAAATGACTTTGGTGACTGGCATGTTGGCGGATACCATGGTAGTGGATGCTTCTTCCATGGTTCTATATCTATCAATTCATTTACAAACAAATGTGTTCTAATAACATACAAAAGAATACATATTATTAGATAATATATTACAATACAATGCAGTACAAAAGAACTTTAGAATACTTACGCATAACCTTTGTTCTCAGGTGGTAAATAAATAGGCAAATATTGTTTTCCATCTCCAAACATTAGCATGGAGCCATCACAGTCCGATATCTTTGGCCAATAGTCAGCTTCAAAATCCTCATTTCCTTTTTTGATTTCCACATTGTGATACTTTGGACTTTTTGTTGGTGAGACAAATAACTGACTATATTCCACATTTAGTTCTGTCATTATATCTGTACAATTAATATATTATTTGTATAAAATAATATATTCATGCAATCTATATCTGTTGCAAAAGTACCTTTCGTGACATGATTACTGTGTTCGTTCACTTGTTTCTGCAAATTTTTCAACAAGTGGAGACTGAGATGAACATTCTGCAACATGTTCTCAGCTATTTTCTTCCTATCTCCTAAATCCATATAAGATAGTACAATATTATTATCAATATGATGAATTGACTTTTCAACTGGATTTATCGCAAGTAAATGTAAATTGTGTTCTCGCGCAAAGGCAAGCTTAATTTCCCTTGTAGTGGATTTAATATTTTGTTCCCAGAGCATATGTTCATAGAGCTTAAGCCATTCCTCTTTCCAATCATAATATGCATGTATCTCTGACAACACATTCTGTAAACGCCTGTAATAATCATAATATAAACATTATTTATTGCATATTATTATATGATATAAATATTATTTTATATACCTCTTGTTAAATTTATATAATGCATTTTCTAAACTAAAAAAAAAAATTAGAAAGCTCAACTTAAATTTGAAATTATAACTTACTGATCAAATAGTAACAAAGTTGTTTCCAACAAACGATGGCACAATATGGCATACTTCATCTGTTTAGCTTCTACAGTGTCGGGTGCTAATTTCAAACAATTATCATAGCACGCTGCGGACCGGTCAAAATCACCAAGAGATGTGTAAATATGGCCCAGTACCAGGTGATGGTAACTTTCCGTCGGATTATGATCTATCGCCGCATGTAAAACAATTGCAGCCTCGCCAGAATATTTCGCAGCGTGTAAAATGCCAGCAGTAGTCAGAAGAGGAATATCGCGATATCGCCTTAATCACGTACAATGCTTTCGTTACAACATCAATAAATTACGAATCTTCTGGCGACACTTTCCTCTAGTATCTCCTAATGAGTTTCTTATTATATTACCTTGGAGCACACACAATTGCTCTACGACTGCACTCTAAAGCATTGTAAGTGTTTCCCTTAATCCGCCAATAAATCGACGCTAAATTAAAATATATCCAGGAGGTCTTGTTGCGAGACAAGCTATAGGCGAGCTGATGACCAAATTGATTGAGATTAGTATTTGGTGGTAGATACGTCATTAAGCTGAGTTCTTCTTTATGCGTAAGATTTTTTCGATTCTGCATCGCCTGATGTAACAAAAATAACACATAAATACATATTACAATTGTTGTATAAAGAATAATGTGCCACTTACTTTAAGATGTTCAAATGTATATATACTAAAATCTAATGGAAATGTACTTTGACAATCTGGAACTGTTTGTTTATTGTTAGCAGCTACATTGTATAACATATAATCATTCTGGCTGCAAAAAATGTTTTTGACCTTTAACATTTAACGAATGTCTCCTTAAATTGACTTAAATATGATATTGCTACTAGAATGTGACTTACTCTATTTCATCTCTGGCTCTATGATCAATTACTATGCTAGCGTGTACATCGACATCACCCAATGACTTGTCCCATAAAAAACAATCAGAATTTGAACTGTCTGCATCTGTCATGCCTAAGCCTACGAATTGATTGTTAATAGACACTTCCTTCCTGGAAATTTTCTTATATATGGCATTGGCTGTTTCCTTGCGTTTCTCCTGTTCCAGAAAGGCTAGGAGATCGTAGGGTCGACGCATATCAAAGACACTGTCATGCTGAAAAAAAGAGTGCAGTTAACGCAAGAAATTATACACTTGCAGATTCGTTAAAATATAACGCAATTTTTAAATCTACAGCGTATTATGGTTTCCTTGAGAAAACTATACGAAGTGTTTACATTTCTATGAAATTATAGAGAAAAAAAATACCTGCGGCTGAATTCTTCCATTTTCAGTAACATACCAGTGTTTGGTAGCTGAGATTTCAAGTATTACCGCAAATACCGTGATAATCCTGCAGCACACGTTGTTCCAGGTCATTTTTTGCGATATAACCCCATACAAAGCACATCAGACTTCACCGATTTTGCGTTTCCGTCAGGAGAACCGCGACAGCGAGGACCATGGCTGCGAAAACGTGCGTTTCTCTACAGATAAGTACACCGCACGAGGTTCGCAGTAAACGCGCGAAAATACTTATTGCGTCGCGTATTTCCTTTCTACGTCCGGAACGGTACAAAACGTGATATGACGCGGTGTCAGTGACTATCAACCACCATCAACAGCGGGAATCGCTGTTAAATACAAGTTGCTAGCCACTGGCGAATCGACTGTCGCAGTCGAACAGCTGGGTTCAAATACATCCAATGAAATACAATGCAATAGAACTCAATCATCATGATTTAAAAAATTAAAATAAAATTTTCAAGTAAAAAAGGAAAGATTTTAAGATAAAAAAGAAAAAATAAATTAGGGAAAATTAGAACAAGTATTGAAACGAAAATTTTGTTCGACGAATTTATTTCTAGCTTTAGCATAAGTTTGCAAAATACTTTTAAATGTCAGGTATTTGTTAAAATATAATTTATTTCAATATGTACAAAGTACTTATTTTTTAAAAATTTGTTGAATATAAATTTATTCTTTCAAGAATTCACTTAACATGTCGACAAGCGTTGACTCATTCTTTGCAAAAATTAGAACATTTGCTTATCGTAGTGCTGTAACATAAAAAGATTCCTTGTCCAAGGCCAACGACAGCCTGTCGTTAAACCTGGGGTGTCGCGCTTGCGTGCAATTGCATAAGCGTGTACCGTCGCGGTGACTATCCTGCTCGCGTTACGTCGATTGTAGAATGTTTTGAAAGCTCCGTGGACTTACGACATACAGCGCAACCGTGCTCGTGCATTATCCTTGCAACGCAAACGTACGGACGTGCTAGCTGCCGATCGTAGTCTGGCATCGATAGTCGACGAAAACGGAGTATCCCTTCTTATAGTCCCGACGCGGAGTCATTTATAATCATGAGTCTGGTGCGACAAAACTTTCACGAGGAATGCGAGGACGCGCTCAACAAGCAAATCAATCTGGAATTGTACGCCAGTTACGTCTACTTGTCTATGGTCAGTATTGATCAGCTTTTGACCCGTCGCCTTCGTTCCACGGGCTCCGCGATCGAAACACCTTGTACAACACCTGAATACTTTCCCTCGTCGGTGGTGTTTGCTGCCTCCCTGACGCAATCGTTTCTATCTTATGCGTCGTACACGTGCCTTTCGAAATTACACTTTTAATCTTTCATACCAATTTGCACATTGTGTAGAAACTGCTAAAATGAAAAAGTTAGCGAAAGAAGATACTTTTATCCAGTGTCTTATAGATACTTCCTTTTATCCTTTAATTCTGTTTGAATCATATAAATATATAATCACTTAGATTACGTTAAAATTGCATCAATTAAGTGATTTTTTAATACAATTAATATATATTTTTTACTGCAGACGGAACTGCATTTATAGTCGTTCCAAACAATATTCCACCATAAATCGAACAAATGCGCTTACCGAAACTTGAAAATGAATGAATATCGATTAAAAACCGACAATAATAAATAGTTGCACATAGCATTATTTTCCTTCACATTCAGTCCTTTCATTTTGCTTGCATTTTGTTGTAGGCATACTACTTTGACAGAAGCGACGTCGCGTTATCAGGTCTCTACAAGTATTTCATGAAAGCTTCAGACGAAGAACGTGGTCACGCAATGAAGCTGTTGACTTATCAGAACAAGAGAGGTGGTGATATTGTGCTGACAGACATCCAGGCACCAACGAGAAGGAACTGGAACAATGCGAAGGATGCTATGACAGAAGCTCTGCAGCTTGAGAAGAAAGTGAATCAGGTGAATGCGCGTTGTTATTGCGCTCCTAATCGATTCTGTTGAGAATAGCACGGTTATGATGCAATATCTAAAATTACTTAATAATATCAAAATAGTTTCACTTAAGTGACTCAAATTAAAGATCTTATTTAAATTAGAATGCTAGAAATTAAGAATTAATTATAATTTTGATTTTAATACGCTTAAATTTTATTTTTTCGATTAATACTATTATAAAATTTTGACTAATATTTTTTAATAACTTATTTGGTGAGAGTAATTAATTATTATTTTAATTAAATGTGCATTTTTCTGTTATCTATTTAAAATACTTTGTTTATAATATTTATCAGTGCGGCAATTGTTTTGTATTATGACATTGAATAACTAATAGCAAAGTTCAAGTTTAAGCGTTTTACTAATTGGCTTCCAAGATTTTTCGCGTCGTTTACTAATTTAATTATTACAAATGGTCTAATTTCTTCGTTGAACATGTGTATTTCTTCAACCAGTACCATTTTAAGTTACATAGTATCAATCGGGGGTGTAACTCAGTGGTAGAGTGTCCGCTTCGCATGCGGAAAGTCCTGGGTTCAAATCCCAGCTCCTCCAACCTCTTTTTTTTCTTTTTCTATCAATATTGTATGAATATATATCTGTTTTTTTTATTTTACACTAAAATTAGATTTAGTAATATCAAATAATGAAATAAAAATTACCTTTTAGGCCGTTGTTCGTATCAAAGGCCGAAACGTTTGTAATTCTGATGAACGGATAATTGTAATACATAGAGTTTAGCACGAATAACCGGTTACGACTCATTCGCTTTCCTTGTGTGACTTTTTGGTATCCAGATTAATTTTATACTAATTTTCGAATCAATTTTTATGTTTTTACAGAACCTACTCGAGTTACATGGAATCGCTTCAACGCACAACGATGCAAATTTCATGGATTATCTGGAAAATGAATTTTTACAAGAGCAAGTGGACGCAATAAAAGAAATCGCTGATCATGTAACGAATTTGGAGAGAGTCGGGGAAGGTCTGGGCGTTTTTATTTTTGACAAGGAGTTGAACGAGTTGAACGATTGAGACTGAATAATCGCGTATAAAGTCTGCCAAAATTAACTAGAATTTTAGACAAATATACTGCAAAGAAGCTGTGTTATTCATGTCACATTAAAAAACGTATATAATAAATAAATAAATAAATAATGAAGAAATATTATAGATGTTAGGCGTATTGTTGCTCGTCTTAGCGTTCCGATTTTTGAAAAAACACACAGCTAATGTGATTTTATTCAGATAAAATTCTTGATACTCGTGTCAATTGACTTTATTAGATAATTAATAATGTAGCAGCTAATTTTTTAAAATATGTCATATTTCTAGACTCTACGAATTGTAACTGCACATTATTGTAAATCAAACAATAATAATTGAAAATATCATTACGGTTACACAATGTGATATTTTCCTACATCTAATCCTTATAAAATATCCACTGTATGTTATAATTATTGTACAGAATATTCTAAGAAATATTACTTACTGTTCAAAATTAGGCGAAGAGCATTAGGAGAGATAAGCACGTTTATAATTGCCGCGCTCGGTGAGCCGACGCTACTGGCGTCCAATCGCAGGCAATCGCTTAGCGGTCAGCGGAAAATGGCTCGCAATAACAAGTTTGTCGCACAAACCGGAAATTATCGCTGGAAATTCGTTAACTTCTCTCAAACTTCTGGATCTTTCTAAAAGAGCAAGCTAAAATAAAAGCAGCGCCTAGAAGAAGCGAGCCGCACTTTACAGAAAGTCTTGGACGCGATCACATTACAGCTACCATTAGAATTCTTAATTAACGCGGCGATTTTGTATTAAAAAAGTTGTGTGCTCGCTTGTATGTTTCGCCTCTCCGTAGTTCACGGAATGCAAATTCTCGTCGCAGCCTTCGCGATCCGCTGCTCGCGGAAAAGTGCAGTTGCGGTTCGAGAAATCGAACGCTCGCCGTTCGACAATCCGTTGCTCGCAGAGTCAAAAACTCTGGAAATGTTGTAAGTAGCTGTGAATAACTGTACATGTTTCGTGATCGTGTTTATTAAAGATTGTGCCGTTCAAAAAAGGTAGCGACTTTCTCACCGCGCCCATTCCATCTTTATCCTTTTCTTTCACTCTCGTTTGCGCTTCTCGTTCGCGCGTTCGCTAAACTCGCTAACATCCACACTACATTCTTATTTTTTTATCATTTTTCTGAATTTCCATGAAAAATTAACCTTGGAATTTTTGTTATAAAATTCGACATTTTTCTAAAAAACCATAAAAATTTGATAAATTTGCACAAAATATATCATATCTTATGATTTTTGTCAAATTTTAAAAAACTTCTGATATATTTATTTTTGTCAGAGTTTCGAACATGTTGAAAAAAAAGTTACTTATGTAACACGGTGAAAGAATATAAGGTGATTTCACGGCAACTAAATTTTTGTGATTTTTCCGCATTGTTCCACATTGAACCGCTAGGTGGCTACGTGTTGAGGGACTTTAAATATATATATATAAAATTTATTAAATTTATTGT